TAATATTTATAATCAAAATTTGTAAAAATATAAGAAGTTGATATAAAATTTTGTGTAAAATTAATTAAAAATTTTACATTTAATGAAGTTTAACTTATACTTTTAGGAGACATGTTAAATAAATTCTTAATAAATTAAAATTAATCTTTATTCGTTTATAAAAATTAATTATTAAAAGACACATTAAATGTCATGCCCCAAAACCCAATTCCGAGGACGCGACAGACGCCGTACACTTGTGAGAGAGTCCCACAAATGCACAAGGCTCGGAACTTATCATATCACACTCTGATACCACCAAAATCTGAAGATCAAATTATAAAATTCTCTCTGATATCATAAAATCTCCAATTAAAATCTCCAATTACAAGATCATGATTTATTTCTAAAATTTCATATCCAATTACAATATGACTAGCCTTTTAACTCGTCACTTCCCGTGGTTCCCTGTCCTCGATTTCGTTTCCTGAAATGGTGGACAAGGGAAAAACTATGAGATAAACTCAGTAAGTAAAATATGGAGTGCCCCTTATTAAACTTATAGCATGCCAACAAGTGCAATCACACAAAATGGATACAATACGGGAACGAAATAGATGTCTCCTCTATAGGTCATGGCCAGTGTATTAAACTTCCCACTGGCAGGCACACGATTTACTAGTGTATAATCCCCACTAGCAGGGTCACTTGTACGAACCAGTTCTATCACTAACATATCGACATGTGCCGACATGTGCTAGCGTTTAACCCCCACCAGCAGGGTTACAAGAACATAACCACATCGAAGACAAAACAGGCAGAAATTAACAAAAAAATCATAATTCACCAATCACTTTCAAATCATCAGGACAATCAATTAAATTTCCAGTAGGCATGCTCAATTTAATGAAAAGCATAAAATTTCCACTTCAAATCAATCATGCTTGTGTAAAACGGGTTTAGTCCCGCCACCACTTCAAAACAAATTAAAACATGCTTTTAAAAACTGTATGGGCATTACCATAGATTTACTTACCTCACTTGCATAAAACCGAAGACTCGATCTCAGTGCTAACTGACAGAACAATCGAAAACCTAATCAAAATATCCCATAATTAATACCATACTATTACAAATTCACACTGAAATCATCATTAGAATCATTCATAATCACAATGCTATTTCCATAAATCTCCACATTATCAGATATCTCCAAATTCGTTCTTATATCACAAATTAATTATTTAAATCCCCGTTAATTGTCGATCCTCGGTGTGTGAACAGTACCCCGTGAACAGTATCCACGACGTGAACAGTAATTCCAACTTCCAAAATTGGCCAAAACACTAGCTAATCTCACGGAAATTTTCTCCAAAAATCACACAGCAGTCAATTAACACTCAATCACATAAATCCCACTTGAATTAAGCTAAATCATGATCTAATTACCATCAATTTTCTCCCCTAATTAATCCAGAATTTCGGACACAAAGGGCAGCAATTAAATGGCTAAAACTTGCACTTAGAGAAGCTGCCACATACCATAATTTTCCTAGCACAACCGGACTGCAGAAACCGAGCTTGGTTGGGGGAAAAGCCGGCGGCAAATCTGCAGGGAAAGCTCACGGGTTCACCCAAAATCTGGAGAAACAATAGATTTAACATGAACCCAAGCTAATTCAAGGAAAAACAGAGAATTAGGGGCTGTTCTTACCAGAAAAATGCCCAGAATTTCGGGCCTAGCAGCAGCAACGGACGGACAAGCAGAGCAGATCCGGATTCTTCTCTGCAGAGGGGAGAAATTCTGGGTTCTAGATGTGTTCTAGAGCAAGAAAGGAAGGGGAAAATCCAAGCTTCCTACCGGTTTCCTCAAGGGGAGGTGTGTCGGCTTGGCGCTGGGTTCCTTGCCGGCTGCAGCGGGAAGAAAGAAGAGAAGCAGAATCGGGCTGGAGAAAAGAGGAAGAGGAGAAAAGAAATAAGCCATCCTTATCCAATTTCTACTCTTTTTAAACCCCTCAACTTTTGAAATGTTGGCCATTAAGCGCAAAAAAATATTTCTTTCTCAAACAAGTCCCTAACTCACTTATTTATTCTAGAAAATTTTGGGGCATCACATTAAATATAAAAGAACATATTAGAAAAATATTTTCATAAAATAAAATTTATAAACTAGTTAATTTTAAAAATAAGATAACAAAATCAAAGTAAATATTAAATACCTTTAAACTCAAATTATGAATCATATTATTAAATTAAATTAAGCTTTTATTTTTAAGATTTTAAATTTTTTTTAACAAATCATAAATAATAATGATAAATGATTGGATAAGATTCAAAATTTT